GTTTCTTTTTTTTTTGGAGAGATTTTCACTGTAGGGCGCGTGCGCTCGCCAGACAGACAGAGAGAGACATAGAGACAGAAAGCGAGAAATCACCCCCCAGGGGGGATGGTCACGCCGCAATCCCTTCTCCTCCATTCTCCTCTCGGGATCTTGGGCACGCACGCACACGCGCCCGGCGTGAGTTTTAAGCCACCGGGTCCGGGACACGAACTGCGGTCGACTACGTGGGAGTCCAGCGACATAGCCATTACACTAACTGCTGGTTCCCAAAAATAAGTTTCTTGAAGTGAAAAGCAGTCATTTGTTCCAAATCCATCATGTTTCCTGTGATATATCTAGTGCAGAGTAAGCTCTAACTTCCCATTGAGGAAACGTAAATTTCATAAACATGGAAAGCTAAAGTAGTTATAATAGGAGATCCTTCAGAATTATCTAGAGGTTCTGCTAATAGTATTAGCTTATAAATGTATGTGTTAACAACTACTGGAACAAAATATTTAATTTGCTAGATTCTTAGAGACTGAGTTGATACATCATGTAACTTTCTTTTCACACTAAAGGTTTTACTTTTTCTTTCTTTTTTTTTTTTTTTTTTTTTGAGGGATTTTTTTTTTCCTGCCCTGGTCCCGAGAGAGAGAGAGAGAGACAGAAAGTGAGAAACCACCCCCCAGGGGGGATGGCCACGCCACAATCCCTTCTCCTCCATTCTCCTCTCGGGATCTTGGGCATGCATGCACACGTGCCCAGCCTGAGTTTAAGCCACTGGATTCAAGACTCGAACCGCGGTCGACTGCATGGGAGTCCAGTGACTTAGCAAGTACACCAACTGCTGGTCCCAAGGCTTTACTTTTTCTGATAATACTTTACATTTTAAAAACTCATCCCTGAGAGGAAATACTTTTAGCATTCCATCAAGATGTACTTGTGTGCACTAGGTGTGGCATTTTCAGCTCCTTAATTCTCTTTTTTTTCTTTTTGGAGAGGTTTTCGCTATAGGGAGCGTGTGCTCACCAGACAGATAGAGACAGAAAGCAAGAAATCACCCCCAGGGGGGATGGCCACGCCACAATCCCTTCTCCTTCATTCTCCTCTCGGGATCTTGGGCACGCACGCACATGCGTCCGGCGTGAGTTTTAAGCCACCGGGTCCAGGACACGAACCATGGTCGACTACGTGGGAGTCCAGCAACATAGCCATTACGCTAACTGCTGTTTCCTCAGTTCTTTAATTCTACATTTCTTTTATTTTTCAATTTCGAAATGGAGTTTATACAAGGCAAATAATTTGTGTAATTTGATATTTAGAGAGTTGTGCCTACCATTCATGGGAATACATATCAGATTCTTAGATGTTTATTGATACGAGACTGTATGACTAAAAGAGCCAAGCGTGTCCATGTGTCTCTTTTTTATTTGGAGAGGTTTTCGCTATAGGGCATGTGCGCTCGCCAGACAGACAGAGAGAGACATAGAGACAGAAAGCGAGAAATCACCCCCCTGGTCATGCCACAATCCCTTCTCCTCCATTCTCCTCTCAGGATCTTGGGCACGTACGCACATGTGCCCGGTGTGAGTTTCAAGCCACTGGGTCTGGGACACAAACCACGGTTGACTATGTGGGAGTCCAGCGACATAGCCATTACGCTAACTGCTGGTCCCCCCATGTGTCTCTTATAGGTACACTTTGAACCAGTGAATATCTGTGACAATTCTCTTCAATTTCATGATATATAAAATTTAGCTACTTTCTGTAACTTGAAAATCTGGTACTATTTTATTCGTGCTTGAAAACTTGGAGTCTTGAATGTCTTGTCTCTCTCTCTTTTGTAATAGTAAATTAAAGTTTGAGAGTTTGAAAATGTAAAATCTATTTCTAAACTAAGTTTTATCAAAATAAAAGGTTCACACTAAAAAAATTCTTATATATATATATACATATATATACACACACATATATATGCTTGCTTATAATCAGAAAGAAAAAAATTTATGTGTCATTATGTGTCTCAATATGTCATTAAAAATGTATTACAGGGGCTGGCGAGTGGCATGGTTGTTGAGGTGCTGGACTCCCATATGGCTGACCATGGTTAGAGTCTGGGACCTAATGGCTTGCTTTTTCACTTTCTCTCTCTCTGATCAAATTTAAAAATAATAGTAATAAATACAATTAAATCATTATTTAAAAAAATTTTACTACATAGCCAGTGTAAACTCTTCATCTAGGTTTGTTATTTGCCTCAGTCACTTGAGCAAGGAGAAATTCAATTGAGACTAACTTGAACAAAACAAAACAAAAGGAACCAGCAGGTAGCATAATGGTTATGTCTGGACTCCCATATAGTCAACTGCATTTTGAGTCCCAGACCCTGTGGCTTAAAACACACTGGGCATGTGTGTGTGTGTGTGTGTGTGTGTGTGTGTGTGTTTCAAAACTCGAGAGGGGAGAGGGGAGGACTGTGGTGTGGCCATCCCCCCTGGGAGTGAGTTCTTGCTTTCTGTCTTTGTCTCTCCAGCAAGTACATGCACCCTATAACAAAAATCTCTCTCTCTAAAAAAAAAAAAAAAAAAAGGAAAATGTAAAGATCTTTGTTGGTTCCTATACTTGTAGCTAGCTCCAGGGTGTGGACATACTCTCAGGCTCTGGCCTCTGCAACAGGCTCCTCACTCTGGCATCCTCAGCCAGGCTTTCTGTACAGGCGAGATAGAGGTGGCTCCCCCAGACCTCCACACCCACAGTGTACCACAAGGCAGGCTTTATGGGGGTGCTGTGACTGGCGGGGAAGTCAGGTCCTCCCAGCCAAGCCCAGCTCCCTTCCCCAGCTGAGTCATCTACAGTAGAAGGAAGGCCTGTTCTCTGAGAAGGGATGGTAGGCAGATAAGTCAGCACTAGGGACTGTGTCTACACCAAGAGTACAATGCCTGAAGGGACTCAGAATGCAAACAGGTGATTTCTATTTTCTTTACATTTCCCTGTTTTTTTGTTTTGTTTTGTTTTACAATAAATAGGTGTTACTTTGCTACAATTAATATTTACAAATTTACAAAGTGGCTACTATGTACCTAACACTCTGCTATAAGCTTTACAGAGACTGACCTTTGCTGACCTAGTGTTCCCACAAGGCAGGAACTCCTGCCATCTTCATTCTGCAAATGAGGATGACGGAGAGGAAAGGGGACCCAGAGTCATGCTGTGGCAGCTGCCTCCTAAAAGCCTCAATCTTCTATGTTCTTTTGCTTTGATCAGAAGAAAATCAGAACTATTGATATTTCCATCCTCCAAAAGACTAAGGCCACAAAGCCCCAAGGTAGCTTCCTCTTGCCTTTACCCTGGTACAAAGAAGACTATCGGCCTCATAGTAACATCATTTGGGAGGTGTTTCCTCCAAAAACAGGCCTCAATGCTGTTAGGATTGAAGTTGCAGAGGGTATGTGTGGAAAACTAATTTCTATAAACACTCAGATGCAAATCGCCCTGCAGGAAGCACTGTCTGGGGGATGTAGCAGCCTTGCTGCTATGTGAAAGTGACCCTGTGGCCCTCCCATGCTCAGGCACTCATGGTTCAAGGCCATGTGATGGTGTCACCATCTGGTTTAAAGTCACCAAGGTTCCTTACCTGGTTTCTCACATAGCAAGCTAATGGTGGTTATGATGGAGAAATGACTCGGGATATAGGCAAAGGTAAAGTGAGAGGCCCCACTGATCTCCTCCCTGAACAGCCTTCACCTTGTACCACTGAGAGAAGATGCCTACAGGACTCAGGATGCAAAAAGGTCATTTGTATTTCTCTGAACTTCCCTGTGCTTTTCACAATGAGCATGTTACTTTTCCATCTTGTCAAATGCTCCTCTGGTCCCATGCCACCTACACTCAATATAGAGGGGAAAAGCCCAAATTCTGCACCTTCATAGAGATCTCCGGTTCAACTTTAAGGCCACCTCTAGTTAAGCAGCTTTCTTCAGCAAAGCCAGCTCTGGAGTCTCTGCATTGACTGCCCTTTCTTGCTCATTTCCTGCCTAGTTCAAATGTCACCTCCCTGTAAAATCTTTATGTCCACCTCAAGCAAAATGTAATGGTGCCCCTCTTCGGTCTTTGACACTCACCAATACACTTCCTGCCACAACTCCTAGTGGGGGTATAAGTGTTTGCTCCCCAAGGAGACACTTCCTACATTCTCCCCAGGTTAGCCATTCCAGCTTCCCCTTTGGTACCCATCATTGAAAAAAAGGGTCACAATCAATTGCAAGTGTGAATTTCAGTATCCCTTTGTCATTTTAGCCTCTCTTAATCTCTTTTGGAAGCTATTCAAGTCCTAAATGCAAAACAGTGACTGAAAGGCTAAGTCTCCTCATTCATGATACAGGACAGGCTTCTCATAGGACCTGCCTTTAGTCTTTGAATCATCACGTAAACTGAAGTCCAAGAGTGGGAGGCTGTTAACAGAGGCACCCTGTGCACAGTCCCAGCAAATGACAATGCATTGTGATAGAAATCATCATCATACAATTGAAGAGCCTCTGACTGCCAAGCCTTGGTCATAGAGCCATGGAAAATTACCTTCTTTCAAGGGTAGATAGGTATGTTCAGGAAAAACTTAAGACTGGCCACAAATATATGAACCTCAAGAAGATAGAGTTCAGGTCCAAAGGGAGACACAACAGGAATGTAAATTGGTGAGGACCGTCTAACATGAAGGACCCTGGGGAAAGGAGGGCCTGATCTCCCTCCATCTCTTCCTAGACCACTGGTTGCATCCCTCGCTGAGTCCCTGAGAATAATCCTGGGCCGAAGGGCTGGGCACTGCGAGGCCAAGTGTAGGCTTGTCACTCACCCCCTCCCTTTCCATCTGCACACGTGGAGCCTGAGCACTAGAGCACTGGGCATCCACACCTGAGAATTTCTGGCACCACAGTGGTCCTCTTGGAACTTTTTCTTTAATCCAACATTAGTGAAAAGAAAATTCAGGTATTAATATAGAGAAATCTGTAAACCAAAGAACATTTTACATGGTCACAGATATTTATTACATAGACTGGATGAGATACTGGCACATGCTCCTTCCCGGCATCAGGATCTGGCTCTGCACAGTGAACGGTCAGCAGCGCGTTGGCTCCCCTTCATTCTCACTACTGCCAGTGCCCAGGCAGCCCTGCAACACATCAGAACACCAATCTCAGAACATTTCTAATGCGAGCTGGCATGACTTTAGTTAAGTGTGTACAACAGTTCAAACCCTTTTCCAATAATGCTAAGTTGTTTTGTTTTGTTTTGTTTTGTTTTGTTTTGTTTTGTTTTGTTTTGTTTTGGAGAGGTGTTTTTGCTATAGGGGGCATGCACTTGCCAGAAAGACAGAGAGAGAGAGAGACAGAAAGCAAGAAATCACCCCCTGGAGGGATGGCCATGCTGCAATCTCTTCTTCTCCATTCTTCTCTTGGGATCTTGGGCACGCATGCACACGCGCCTGGCGTGAGTTTAAGCCACTGGGTCCGGGACTCAAACTACGTGGGAGTCCAGCAACATAGCCATTACACCAACTGCTGGTCCCTTAAAGTTTTTTGTTTGTTTGTTTGTTTTTTCCTATAGTGGGTATGAGCTTACCAAAGAAAAAGAGAGAAAGAGAAAGAGATAAGGAACGTGAGAAAACACCCCCCAGGGGTGATGGCGACACTGCAATCCCTTCTCCTCCATTTTCCCCTGGAGACTTTGGGCACACATGTGCTCACATCCAGTGTGATTTTCAGGCCACTGGGTCCAGGACTCAAACAGCACTGTTAGCTATGTGGTATCCAGCCACTTTAACCACGAGGCCACCAGCTGACTCCAGGAATCCTAATATTTTTTCTTTTTTTAGATTTTTGCCATAGGACACATGTGCTTGTCAGAGGGAGAAAGAGATAAAGGTAGACTGGAATGTTAGTGGACAACCTCTGAATAAATTCCTCAAGAATGAACAAGGTTGACCAGCAGTTAGTGTAATGGCTATGTTGCTGAACTCCCATGTAGTCAACCGCAGTTCGAGTCCTGGACTCACTGGCTTAAATTCACGCCAGGCATGTGTGCATGCGTGCGTGCCCAAGATCCTGAGAGGAGAATGGAAGAGAAGGGATTGTGGTGTGGCCATCCCCCCCGGGGGTGATGTCTCGCTTTGTCTCTCTGTCTCTGTCTTTCTGGCAACACATGCACCCTACAGCAAACAAACAAACAAACAAACAAAAAAAGAAAAAGAAAGAAAACCTCGCTGAAAAACAAAAGAAAAAAAAAGAATGAACAAGGTACAAAGTGGAATAATCCACTAATCCAAGGAGAAAAATCTTTATTCGGAATTTTTTTTTTCTATATTTAATGCTACTACAGAAAGTACTCTAAACTATTTCATTTTCAAAATGAAACAGCACTCTGTGACTTGACTAAGATATTGCTGCTTTTCTTCTGAGCTTTGCTGTCCAGTTTTAAGGATTTTTATCCTGTCTTGAGCTGTCAAAAGATTCATGTACCTAGTATTTGAACAAAATACTAAGCTGTTTCTAGGGTTCAAGTTTTAAGGAAATATCCTTACCAATTCAAAACTGCCTTTCTTGAAACCACCAGCTGAACTTGCTATTGAAAGTAGTTAGATTACTTATGATATTGTGTGGTCAACAAAATGTTGGGGGAAAAGGAATTGAAGACAACTGTAGACAGTAGAGATAGTGTAATAAGAGAGTGGAATAGGGCAGAGGATCAGACATGGGGTAAAAAACATATATATATGAAAGTAGTGATGGAATTTTATGGATGATAACATGCATGATTAAACCACTATGCAGGTTGCTCTAGCGGGGAAACCACATTTATTATGTTGTGATGATGCTCAGTGAATGAATGTAAATTAAAAAAAAAAATTCAGAAAAAAAAACTACTAAAACTGTTACCCCCCCCCAAAAAAAAGAGAGAGAGAGAGAATTAGCTTTCTTTGTGCAATTGGGCTAATACTACAATAGCTATAAGAATCAGAAGATGTAGGGACCAGTATTTGGCATAATGACCATGTCACTGGACTCCCATGTAGTAGACAACAGTTCTAGTCCTGGAC